CACTGCAATGCGGCCTACGACATCCTCACCGGCAGCCTCGAGAACCTCGCGCGGGCGCTCAAGAAGGAAGGGATGATCGTCGACATCGCGCGCATCACGCGGTACTTCACCGTCTTGGTGTTTATTACCCAATCGCAGCCGAAGTTCGACTCCCAAAACAAGGCGCGGCTCGTTTCGACCGTCACCATGCCCCGGGTCCCACGCTCGGATCTCGAGAGCTACCTCCGCGGGATGCCATTCCTGAACGCGAACGTGAACAGCTACGACGACGCGATCGCGAGCGAGATTAACCGGGAGATCGGCGCCGGGAAGCGGGTTAACAGCAAATCCCTCATCGCCTCCATCACGAAATTGGTCGACGCGACGTTGGCCCGCTCGGATGGGCGGAATATTCGCACCCTCATCGTCACCGAGGGCGATTCCGCCAAGGCGCTGGCCCTCAACTCGCTCAGCAGCGAACAGAAGAAGTTCTGCGGGGTCTTTCCCCTCCGCGGGAAGCTGCTGAACGTGCGGAATAAAAAACTCAAGCGCCTCAAGACCTGCAAGGAGCTCCAGGACTTGTTTTTGGCATTAGGACTGGAGCTTGGACGGGTCTATCGCGATCCGAGCGAGCTTCGGTATCAGCGCATTCTCATCATGACCGATCAGGATGCCGACGGGACGCACATCAAAGGTCTTGTGATTAACGCCTTCGAGTCCTTATGGCCCCTGCTCCTACAGCGAAACCCCGGGTATATTTCGATCTTCTCGACCCCGATTGTGAAGATTCGGGTCTCGGGCAAGTCCAAGGACCTGATTCCGTTTTACAGCCTGAAGGATTTTCAGAAATGGCAGCGAAACAACCCGCATATTCGGTTTACGGCGAAGTACTACAAAGGCCTCGGCACCTCCACGACTGCGGAGGGGAAGGAGTATTTCGCGAATATGGACCACAACGTGATGCGGCTGGTGGTGGAGCAGAAGGACCACAAACTCCTCGACAGCGTCTTCGACTCTACCGAGGTGGAGTGGCGGAAGGACTGGATGGCGAAAACCGACGCGTTTGACGCCGAGGTCGACATCGATCGGAGCAAAAAGACGCTGAATATTACGGACTTCGTGCATAAGGAGATGGTGCACTTCGCGCTGCTGGGGAACACCCGCGCGATCCCGCACTCCGTGGACGGGCTCAAGCCCTCCCAGCGCAAAATCCTCTGGGCGATGTTCCGCCGCGGGGGGTCCGAGGCCTGCAAGGTCTCGCAGCTCTCCGGCTACATCAGCGAGGCCTCCGCCTTCCACCACGGCGAGGCCTCCCTGCAGGAGACGATGGTGAAAATGGCCCAGAACTTCACCGGCGGGAATAACCTCAATCTGCTCGTCCCGGAGGGCCAGTTCGGCTCGCGGCAGCAGCTCGGCGGCGACCACGCCGCCCCGCGGTATATTTTCACCAAACTCTCCCGCTTCGCGCGGCTGCTCTTCCCCAGCGAGGACGACCCTTTGCTGGATTACGTCGAGGAGGAGGGGGCGCTGGTGGAGCCCACGCACTTCGCGCCGATCCTCCCCATGTTGCTGTGCAATGGCTCGGTGGGGATCGGCTTCGGCTTCGCGACGAATATCCCTTCCTTTCACCCCCTCGACGTCTCCGCGGTGGTGCGGAGTATGATCCACGGCGAGCCCGCGCGGATCGCCGTCAAACGGCTCGTCCCCTGGGCTGTCGGATTTCAGGGGAAGGTCCGGCGAGGGCCGGAGAAAGAGTTCCGCGCCGTGGGATCCTACACCGCCTACCGCGGCGGGCGCTTTCACATCCGGGAGCTCCCCTGGACGATGAGTATTGAGGCCTTCCGACAGCACATCTCGGGCCTGGCGAGCCAGGATGTGGTGCAGCGCATCGCGGACTACTCGGGCGCGAATCATATCGATATCGACCTCTTTCTTCGCGAGGAATGCGTCACGACCTGGGCGGAGGTCGAGAGCGATCTCGCGCTCAACCAGAAAATCTACTTGAACGCCACCGTCTTCTCGCCCAATGGCGTGATTGCGCCCCTCGAGGGGGATTTGGCGCCGATTCTGCAGTGGCACTACGACCGCCGCTTGGATTTGTATAAAAAACGCCGCACGCGAAAGCTCGGACTCCTCGAGTGCGAGCTCGCGCGACTCCAGTCCACTCGGAAGTTTGTCGAGCACTTCCGGAAGGGCAACATTGACTTTACCAACGCCACCGACGAGACCCTGGAGCGGCTCTGCGCGAAACTAGGGATGGTGAAGGTCAATGATGCGTACGACTACATCCTGAAGTCCCCAATCACCTTCTTTACACGGACTAGCCTCACGAAGCTCAGCGACGATATCGAGAAGGTCCGCCACAATCTCGAGGAGTTGAAGAAACTCTCCCCGGTAAAGTTATGGACGAACGATTTAGACCAATTCGACAAGGTCTATAGGGAGTACGAGAACGTCTTCGTGAACTCGATCCAGAAGGAGCAGCGCTCGATCAAGACGACGGGGATGGAGGAATTGCCCTTACTTCAGCAGCCTGCGGGGACGATGGAGCCTGGGGTGAATGGGAACTCCAAGTCGGTCCCCACCTGCGTGCGGGCCTATCAATACCTTACCCCGCCGCCGAGTAAACGCACGAAATCGGAAGGTGGAAAAGGCGGCTCCGGCGGTGGCGCCGCGGGCACGGCATCGGCCGGAGTTGCCAAACGCCTGCGGAATATACGCAGCCGATCCGTCATCAAAGGGAAACGACGGAACGTGAAGAAGATGCTTGCGGACTTCGCAGGGGCTCAGCTGGGAAAGCTGCTACGCCGATTACCTCAATTTATTTTCTAGTGAGGAATTGAAGCAACATTTCACTTTTTTTCTTTTTTCTTACACCATTTTTTGTGTTTGTTTTTCCTGATAAAAAAACACATCTTGGTCCAAAAAGAACATGAGTTGAGCACATGTACTTTCTATATATATGCGTGTATCATACCTGCATTTAGTTATTCCTTTCTTGTTGTGTGGGAACTGTATCTCAGCACAGTGGTGAAGAAATGAAAGGACTCCTACGGTGAGTATTATGGCAGCTGCTTTTATATTGGAGTGATTTTGTCGAGGCAGCGCATCTTGGTGGCGTCGGATCGCACCCTAACACCACAGCAGTGCGGCGCAAATAGTGGATTGAGGGAGTTCGAAGACGCACCTCTGCTCATAGAAATATTACCCTAAGAGATTGCAGTTCACTCACCATTAAACAAGGGCTGAAACAGATGATCATAGAGTAACCAAATAAACCTGGATAATTGCAATAGTGTGTGTTATGATATACTATTATTGTTCACCTTATTTTTTTTTTTCATTTTCCATTGACGTGCTCAATATTGGGTATTGTCGTATTATGGTGGGTATTTACTGATTCCATTTAAAAATTTCTTGGTATATTTGCTCTTTCTTTTCGATCCTCACGCCCCTTCAGGGAACTTCAACATATCAAAGGACCATAGCACCTGGACGGTGATTCATGCTTTCGGTGAAAGGTCTTAACAGGGATTTTAACCACTTGAACCGCCTCCTCGACGATGACGCCTACAGTGCGGATACCCGGTTCCTCGAGTCGTTTCACTACGTCACGGAGGTGCACCTCCTGGCCTCGACCTTCCTGCGTCAAGGGCGCCTGGTGGAGGCGGGGTGGTGTCTGAGCCTGGCCCGCGCCCTTCTGGCGCACCCGCGGCTCGCGGCCCAGGCCTCGTCTGCGCTGCACGACCCGAGCCGGGCGCCCTTTCCTAACGCCCCCGCTCCGCCGCCCTCGGTTAGACTAGAGAAGGCTCCACAGGGGGAGGGGGGGCCCCCTCCCCCCCTCAGTTTGGCCAGCGGACCTTCCAGTTGCTGCTGCAGCGCAACGGGCTGTTACAGACGGAGCTCGAGGCCGCCAAAGGGGCCCCAGGGGGGCGCTACGCCTTTTTGAAAGCCTTGGGAACGCGCGAAGGGGGGGGGGGCGGCGTGGATCCCGGACACCCCGGCTAACCCTTCGGCGGCCAAAGCGCCCTACCAAGGCGATATGACGCTGAGCTGGATTTATAACCAGGATGGCAAATCGCGGAGGTGGGGCGCGGCCAATCACCTGGAGAGGATTCAACACCCGGACAGCATCACCCCCCCCGTGCGGCTTCGTCGAGTGAGTGGGATTGGTCGCCGGCGGCAGGGGTATAAGACAATGGTGCCCATGGCTTTGGCAGAGCGCTTCGTCTCCCCCACGTCTCCCTGCAACTTCTCAACCCCACAGGGTATCCAGCAGGGAGAGGAGGAGAAGGAGGGGGAAGAGGAGGAGCGGCCCTCAATCCCCACGCTAATCCCTCTGGCGAACACCCCCAGTGCTTGTGGCGGTGTCGACCACGCAGGGGTGCAGGGCCCTAACGGAGTCGCGAAGTGGATGGCCCCATCGCCGCCACCTCGGACAATGGGGGAATACATCGAGCGCTCCTCGCGCGTGTTGAAGTCTCTCCAGCAGGTCTTCGACGCGTTCGAAACGCAGCGTTCATCAGAGTCCAACACGCCTGGGAAGGGAGCTGGTCTCAGGGCCCTCAGCGAGGAGGCCGTTGGGGATCGCAATCGGGTCTGTCCGCCAGCTGGTGAGGAGGTGTCGCGTTACTTCGTTGGAGCCTTCCGTTGTCACGGAAGCAGTAATACTGTGAAAGATACAATCGTCGAACCACGAGACGATGTGGAGAGAATTACGCAGTTAAACGTGGGCGATCCAGATGGTGATGGCGGCGAAACGTGCTCTACGGCATCTCCAAAAATATCATGGCTAGTGCCGAAGGCACCCGTAATCGAAATCCATAGTGGAAAGCCTAATCAAGTATTGAGTTCATCTCCCAGAGATCCTGAAATTCTTCTTCAATGCAGCGATGCACTGGTTATTGGGAATATAACTAAGAAAGAAGAGAACATTATGAATGCTAAAGCTAAAATGGACGACAGCGATTCAGGCACACATGCCCCAAATCAGGACACCCCAAATAACAAAAGCACCCAGGAAGATTACCTTACTGTTGACATGATCCGATACGATTCTTCAGGAAGGCAACGAGAAATTGAAGCTTTGAGGAAGCGAATCGCCCAGATGGAATCCAAGGAATGGGTTTTCAATCAAGAAATTCATAAGGTAGTATTAGATCGGTACTATCGAAGGTTGCTCACAATAGAAAGACAATCACTGTCTTTTAGCAGCGGCGCTGGCGATTATTGCCGCTTAGGGGGTGGGGAGCACGATGGAATGAGTCCCGAGGTAAAGCATGCATTGCTTCAAGGCTATCGAGTGGATTCATCGGTGATGAGGAGGGTTGATGTTGATGATGGCTACAACCTGGATAGCATCCATCCAAAAGAAGCTTGTGTGTCTACTCGCGAGGTCTCAATCTCTTGCCTTCCAACTGACGGTTGGGAATGTAAACCGCGACCTCTCTCTAACCCCAACTCTTTGGAAGCCCACAGGGGCCCTTTTCCCACGCAGGAACCAGATATGCAGCTTCAGGCTGAAGCCTCGGGCGATCGATGGGATTTGATAACCCCACCCTTCCTTTCACATCCCCCGATTCCGATGCAAATAAAGCCCGGCCAACTAACAATGTGCATCGCCGCGGTGCGTCTTCAGCGGATGTGGAGGGGATTCCGCGCGCGGCAGGGGTACCACGACAAACTCGCCTCCCTCTACGCCCACCAACACAACCAACAACTCCTCGAGGCGGCCCGTCTGGAGCTGCAGAATTGGTGGCGTGGGCGCCTCGCGCGAAAGGTGTATTTAGAACAGCTTGAGAAGCTGAGGCTGGCGGTGAGCTTCCGCGTGCACCACGAAAAGGTGCAGTACGTGGATGAACATGACAAAGACCCGCGGACGGCTTCGTTTAGAAAGGTAAAACACCCCCATCCTCCGGCGCGCGAGGGAGAGGTGGGGGCGGTTCCCACCATGGAAGCCGTGGCGAACCTGCGGAGGCAGCAGGTGAAGGTTCTGGATACCCAGCCCCTGTCGGAAACGGTTTCAAATATGTTGACCCCGGTCGTGGAGCATTCTTCTTGCTGGACAAGTGAAGGGTATACCCCGTCAAGCCGCACCAGGACTCTGCTATTTCAAGGAATGAGCTCGAATTTGGTGAGTCCCCTCTCGACCTCGAGGGGTGGGTGTCACCATTCGGAATGTAGTTCAATACACAATGAGACTGAGGAGGCCGCGGACAACAAAGGGTTATCCAAGCTGTATTCGATTCCACACGCCATCGCTGGAGATGCCCGCGCCGCGGCGCAGCTCAGGAGCATTCAAAAGAAAGTGGCAGCTCGCGTGGTGATTTCTGCTCTGCGGCGAAATGACAAGACTGTTGTAGAAGATTTGCGATCAATGATAGAAACACTGTGCAAACCTCCATTGGCAAGGCATGAGTTGACTATGTGCAAAGAAAAAACAGCAGTGAACCCAAGGCTCCCTATTTCCGCCTTTCCTTTTGAAGATTAAATAAACCTATTCTGATCTTATGATTAAATCGTACGATGTATAGATATTTTAGAAACAATATGTAAAATATATAATGCTTTATTAACTATTCTTTTTATATTATTATTTGCTACTTCAATTGCTTCAGGTTTGTATAACTGATGAAGGATTATCAGTCCCAATGATGCCAACTTTACTTGTGACAGGTGGGGGTATTGATTAGGTGGGGCGTTGCCCCTCCCAGAGGGCTCCACGCGAAACAGTGGAAAAACGGTAGTCTCGGGTACGAGCAGTCCCGTCTTCCACGGCGTGGGGAACTGTTGAGGGGACACAGGCCCATCCATAACCTCCCCCCCCCCTCTTTTTTCCCCTCATCCCCAATCCGACATAGCAGAGAGGGAGGCTGTTGGATTGTGCCGGCTACGAGGCCGACCTGGGGATTCCTCACAGGGCCCGAGGGCCACCGCTTTGTGTACCAACCCCCCTCCCTTCTGTCCTACCCCTCTTTTTCCCCAGTGTCACAGTACCCTAGGCTAAGTCACATTCCCTCTGTATGCTTCGCCGGGCAGGCATCGGTTGCCGTGGCATTCTTTTCAGCCCTCTTAGCCCCCCCGCTGGGGGAGGGAATGTCTCACCGTACGCGACGGATGGGGGCCACATCCCTGTTTTTTCCTTCCTCCACGGCCGGATCCAGCGGCGGAATTGGGTCTTCCGGAACCCCGAGTGGTGCGACATCTGCAATGAGCCCGTGGGGCAATGGCTGAACCACCAAGGCCGCAAGGACCACGCGCTGATGGATATGCACTACACCGCTCTGGTCGAGTTCCCGCGGCGGTGGAATCCGGAGGGCGTCCTGCGCTCCTTCTCTGAGGCACTGGGTGTGGATCTGATGGCCTACCATTCGCAGTACGGGCAGAACGAACGCCACCATCGAAACGAGCTCTACGCGATGATGATGACTCTGGAAGAGGCTGGAATGCTCTATTTCGCAGAGCCAAAAAACACCTACCTATATCGGATGCAAGGTGGGCTCCGTGGGATGGATCATCAGGGCGCACTGGTGCTGCATGAGTACATCCTCGGGCCCTTCTTCCGGCTCTACCCAGATGCCCACATTCAGGATTTTTCGAATCTTGTTGACTTTATCACCTGCTCCTATAACATGGAGACGGTCTACGATCTGTGTGGGTTCTACACCCTCGACAAGGTGGCACTCAAAGCGAACTACAAGCCCACTTCCCCTGCGGCTTTGGGGCTTGGCGGCATCGCGACCACGTCGTCCCCTGCGAGTGGCTTCGAAAGTCAGGCAGCCTTGGGATCTACAACTCCCACTCCGAGTGGAAGTGGTAATGCCTCCGCTACGCGTATTCGTACAAAATATCAGGATGATATTGACGAGGAAGCGTTTTCACGGAAAGCCACTTTTGTACGACAGGTGCTTGGGCAGCTGCGTTGGCTGACAACTCAAAATCAGACACATCCGGCGGGCTTCACCTTCCCGGAGCATATCATTTCCCTTGGTGAAATTTGTTTGAGGTCTCTAGTGGTTGAGATCATCATAGTACGGTTAGCTGAATATATGGTTCGTGCAGAACCCGTCTGGCGTAGCTTTGGTTTTGAGAGAAAGCGCCTCCAGATGCAGGAGCATACGCGAAAACCCCATGATGTGCTGCCGGAACCGGTAGTGTATCGCTATCGGCCTATGTCTGAGAAAATGGATGATTTGTATTTTGAAAAATCCGGCAAGCTTGACAAGGAGGTGTGCGACAGACTGCGGCAAAAGCGACTTCCCATTCCTCAAGAGTTTTCTGCTAGGGTGTAAAGAAAAGTTGCACAAATTCTTAACCCCCAATCGTGATATGAGAGGTTTAAAAATGGAGGTGCAAAAAAAAATATTGATAATTTCACTTCAATCCTTGTGCAGCTTTTGGGTAAATAAACTATTTGATAAATATATATCTATATATATAATCCGGTGCCTATTAGTAGTTTCTTCTTTATAGAAGTATACACATTTATACAAATAGGTATATTGGGCATGTTACAATGCGCGCGAGTTGTACGTGCTGCCGGTAAAGTATTGTATCCCACCTCATCGACGATAGCCCGGGACTTTTATGACTGCTGTCGACACGTATTTGAAATTAAACTTCATGAGGAGACATTTATTGGTGAGCGTTCTTCGCAGGTACGTGGTCTTTTTCTCTCAATGGCACGTCAAACGTCGCTTCCCTCGAACCAGCCAATTGCTACGATTCCCCTCGCAACACTCTACACAGAAACTAACATCCATGAAAAGCTGAATACTCTTCAACACCTAAGAACTGACCACGTACGCGATGCAATCGCAGACGAGGAGTTTAAACTCATGGCACCGCAACTCTATATTGGAATGCAGATTGCTGCCATCACGGCGGCCCTTCCCGACATCAGTAAAGTCGGGGACGCCGAGGAATACGCGCAAATCACTGAGATCCTGAGTAGCGGCGCCAACCCATGGGCCCGCATCTACGATGACGAGGACTTCAGCGATAAGTTTGTATTTGGTATGTACGGTATGACCCTGGACAGCTGGCAGCGAAATAGCTACGACGAGATGATCGACAAGTTCAACCGCTCCACCACTTTGGTGCATGATAAGTTCAAACTGCCTTTTAAAATTCACCACTTTCGCCGTATGGCGCGTCTGGTGATTGCACGGCTGGAACACATGCCTCCATTTGACTATTATAATCACAGCTTCCGGGTGCGGCAGTGGCGGCGTAATTGTCGACGCCTTTTTCGACTAAAAGAGCCGTCCGAACTGACGTTGATCCCGCTGCTCGATTTGGTGAACCATAGCAATCGACCAAACTGCGCGATCCGCGTCGGCCCTTCGGCCCTGCTCGGCGGCGATCCCGCAATCACGCTTTTTTCGCTCACCACCATCGCCCCTGGGGAGGAGCTCTGTCGGCACTACAATTTCGCTCTCAACCGCGCTAGCGCCTTATTTCGATATGGCTTTCTGCCCTTTGATTTGATTGCCATCATCGAACATAATTCGATAGAGGAGCACTTCGTGCGGAATCGGATGGAGATGGATCCAATCGCGGACGGTGAAATTGCCAGGTTAGAGGCTGAAAATCGGGAGGTTGAGAGACTGGAGAAAATATTCCAAGAGGCAAAGCGAAACCACTGAAAGGAGATAGTCTTTGCGTATCCAGGCGTTCGACCTTACGTGCGACCCTTCAGAGGGGGGACGTTTCCTGATGAAGCTGTACGCCTCATCGTGTTGTTTGGGGTTTGATATCCCAGCTTGGGGGAGAGGGGGAGCATGGTTTGACAATCAAACCCTACGCATATTGCAGGTGTGAGCCTTGTCCCACGTCAACTCCTTACATGGCGATATTTATCACCTACGATAGGTTGGTTTAACGTTTCCTCTTCTACACCACTGGGGAAGCGTTTCAAACAAAAGGTGGGAGTCTATATCACCCTTGAGGTATTGTCTCTTGCGTTTGTCAACTAAAATGATTTCTAACCTTACCGTTTTCACTGTTTGGAACCGAACCATTTATGCCATCGCAACACGGATCCATTATCACTCAGGACGGCGCATAGACTGTATTGTCCATTTTATCTACCCCATCCGGGAAAGGCGGTTCTCCTTGGATTTGGATTGTTTTCTACACATACGCACAGAAAAGAGAATGCTTCCTATTCGGAGGTCAGCCATGTTATTCTTTTCACAAGCTGCGGTATTTTTGTGTAATTTGGGGGGATGACCTGCAGCCGTGTGCGCCTGGACCTAGACCACCGATACCCCGACTCTGTCAAAGGAACTAAAGCCCTGCTTCTTTCTCCATGGGCAGAGCCTTTACCGAAATTTCTTATCGTGAAAAAAAAACATCATGCAAAACTTATTGTTATATCTCTCCTTTTTAAAAAAAATCTTTGTGCAGGCTCACAGGTGAGTGTATGCAAACTCTTAGCCTCTCTTAAGTAGGGAGTGTGGGATAGACAATATGTAATGTACTGCTGCTACTGCTGTCAAATTACTTTTTGTGAATATAGGTCTAACCATTATTTTCATCTCTTTTCCCTATATTTCTGATTTTTGTTTTTAAACTAAATGCAATCAGTCAGGAAAATAGAAAGGCAACGAGATAACGCGATGGAGCCTGCGGTTAAGGAGAGTGTATCGCGCATTCCGCTCTTAAAAACTAAAGCTGGTCCACGCGACGGTGATAAATGGACGGCACGCCTCAAGGAGGAGTATGTTTCGCTTATCAAATACGTGGAAAACAACAAGGCAAGTGACTCGCATTGGTTTAACCTCGAAAGTAATCCACAGGGGACACGGTGGTATGGCACGTGTTGGACCTTCTACAAAAATGAGAAGTACGAGTTCGACCTTCAGTTTGACATTCCTGTGAGCTATCCTCAGGCCCCGCCGGAGCTTGCACTGCCAGAGTTAGAGGGAAAGACAGTAAAGATGTATCGTGGTGGGAAGATCTGCATGACGACGCACTTTTTCCCCCTTTGGGCAAGGAACGTGCCGTACTTTGGGATCAGCCACGCCCTCGCACTCGGGTTGGGTCCCTGGCTTTCAATTGAGGTGCCGGCGATGGTCGAGGATGGCTCACTAAAGCCTAAGCATGCGGTGGCACCTTAGTTCTTTGTAAAATTGCTACTAAAGAAAAGTGGAACCGCAAAAAGAGGATCGGAAATATCTTCCACGTAAAAATATATATCATGTGCGACTTTTCCTCCAATTGTCTTATCCTTTTTTTCCTGATTTCATTGCACTACCACAGTACACGCAAGACACAGTAATCAAGGTATCTGAGAATTTCAAGGAAAGGACACAAAGCTTCGATTGGAATTTTTTTTTTGGACCCCTGTAAATTACAGATGTCATTACATCGGGTGAAGAAAAGTAATTTGAATATTAAATTCGCATTATTGAGTCGAGATTTCATTAATTATATTCTTTGAGGGTATGGGTATATGGAGGGATGATCACTGTTCTGATTTTTTTTAAATTCTACTCTTTCTTATCCATACAAAGGTCAGTTCCATTGAATACAAAATCTAAGCGTACTAGCAACCGAAACGGAGTCGCTTAATAGGAGCAAAAAAGTGACCCCATTTCTCATTCTCTGCTTGAAAAAAAATAATGCATAAATAAAACAAAAGAATAATTTCTATACACATCACTGTTGTGAGCAGAGAAGAAACAAAAAAAATTGATAAGTAACCCCATTTTCCATTTTGAGCGGATTCAATAATCATGAACAGCGAGAGTATAAGCTCCCCACCAAAAGAACAGATGTTCATCCCTGACCTTCCAGACGCTTTTATTGCCAAGAATGGGAGCAAAATCGAGGATGTGTTCGAAAACTACCAAACCAAGACCAAACTCATGCCGAACAATGCCCTGATGGTTGATGCCGCCAACTCTGACCCCGCGGAGGCCTGGGTTAAGCAGGAACTTCCGCATTACGAGTCCCAGTTCACCAAACTTCACGATCTCCACGTCTGCCTTATGACCTTTAACGTAGCGAGCAAAAAGCCCACAATGCCGCTCCCGATCCCCCACGACCTGCACGCCACGGCCCATTCCAAGCAGCCAACGGACCTGGTGGTGTTTGCCTTCCAAGAGATCGACATGGGCGCCACGGCGATGTTTCGGGAGGAGACCGAGGCCGCCCTGCCGTGGGTGGCCGCCGCGCAGGCGGCCATCAACGCCGACCGAAGCTTTTCCAACAAAACGCCATACTACGCCTTCCCACACAAGCAGCTCGTGGGCCTGCTGTTGTGTGTATTCATCCGTCGGACGCTGCTGCCGAACGTCACCGACTTCGCCCTCTCGACGGTCGCGACGGGGGCCCTTGGCAGCATCGGTAATAAAGGGGGCATCGGCGCCCATTTGGTCATTCATTGCACGAGTTTCTGCATCATCACCGCGCACTTGGCCGCGGGGGTGGATATGGTTCGCAAGCGCAATGATGATATTAATACAATTCTGCGAGACATGAACTTTAACGCCGCACCGCGCTCGTGGGGGTGGTTGCTACCGGGGGAGGACTTGAACCGTTGGCTGCTACTCCCCGATCTCTTTCCACGTGACCACGATATCATCCTCGTTACCGGGGATTTAAACTATCGTGTGAACCTGACCTACGAGGAGTCTGTGGGGCTGGCGAACCGTGGCGAGGTGGGCAAACTCCTCGAGTATGACCAACTCATCCAAGAGATGAAAGACCCTCAGTCGCCGTGGACCGGCTTCCGCGACCTCACCCCGACTTTCCTGCCGACCTACCGGTTTAACATCGGGACGAGTACGTACGACACCAGCGGGAAGCGCCGCGTCCCGAGCTACACGGATCGGATCTGCGTGTGGACCCGGCTCGAGTCCATGCAGGCGCGGGTCAAGGTGGACAGCCTCAGGGCCCTCACCGAGGTGCGCATCAGCGACCACAAGCCCGTCCAGGCCCAGCTGCGGTTTCCCCTGAAGGTCGAGGTCCCCCGCGCGAAGACCCAGGTGATAGGGCAGCTCCGGGATAACGCCCGGGTGCTGGGCCTAGACTGCGCCTCCTGCACCCACATCGCCGTCAGCCCCAGCCTGCTCGACTTCGAGACCCAGAAGGTGAACGGGTGCGAGCGGATGCTGAGTTTCCGGGTCACCAACACAGGGCCCTGCGCCGCCGTGGTGCGAATCCTCCGCCAGTGCCCCACGGACGCCTCGGACGGCACGTGGCTGCGCGTCGTGCCCCTGGAGTTCGTCCTGGTGCCGGAACAAACCCAGAAAGTCAAGGTCACCGTGCAAATCCAACCGGGTTCGACGCCGTGGTTATCGCGCTGGATGCCGTTTAACGGCCAAGGCCAGCTCGAGATGTCGTCAATCTTGATGGTCTGCGTACGCAATGGGTCATTGGCCTTTGTGGAATGCAAAACGGTGTTTAAGCCCAGCATCATCGGCAACAGCCTCAGAAATATCTTTTTGTTCGGTTCCGAGCCCTGCGCGAAGGCGTACAGATATACTAAAGACCGGAGGATCGAGCTTTTCGCCAAAAAACAGCACATCCCAAAGGAACTTTGGTACCTGATCAACGTTATCGTCGCGCATCCATGTTTACCCGGGTTATTTACAGAATCTTCAAAGTTGGAAAGGTCTAGGGAGATCATTGATGATCTAGATTCGTTAGGTGTTTTGTTTCCCGACACAACGGATCCTCACTCTGCGGCTGAATGTCTGCTGAAGTTACTGCATAACCTTCAGGAACCTGTGATTCCGTTTGGTCACTATGAGGCGGCTCTGTGTGCAGGTGAGATAGGCGGTAAAGCACCTTTGACCTTTCTTTCCACTCTCCCCATGATTCACGCAAATGTGTTTATATATATTATGGGAATGTTGAACTTTCTCTTACGTCCTGTAAATGCGCGCAGTAACGGACTATCGATTGAGCTAGTAGCTCAAATCTTCAGCAATGTGCTTATTGCTCCCCCTTTGACTTACAAGGAATGTGTTCATGAACACCTTCGACGAGGTGGCGGAGTTGACCAACGCATTCGAAGAAAAAGTCAGATCGAAAAAGATGCAGCACAGTCGCTGTTGAAGTTCTTCCTGAATTCACCACCCACCCTCCTTCAGTACTAAAGAGAAAGACAAAGCCATTGGGGATAAGTGAGAGGGCCTCAAAGGTTTCTCATAATGATGCAGCTATTTTTAGAACACACACGCATATATGTGTATATACATATATATGCGTGTGTATATATAATCTCGAAAAAAAATACGTATATAATTTTACTATATATCTGTCAAGTAAAAAAGCCAACAAACGCGTTGAAATGATAATTTTTCACTAAGTTCATATGTGCTCATTTTGGTCAATGTAACCTCCAATTGTGTTATTCAGTTCAAATGCTATTAATTATTTATATTTAGTCATTGCATAGATGATGCTTTTCACGATATGGTCTGTGTTTAATGTATTTTTATTTTCCATTTTTATTAGAGAAGAAGGGTCAAAAAAATCATGTGCGTAAAGAAAGAATAATTGTAGTATATATTTTTTTTAGTAAAAGAAGACAAAGTGGATAAAGGACAACGTTTACAGTGTGAAAAGAAAATTGACCACATAGTATCCGTCCATTTTTTTTTGCTTAGATAGTTACAATTTCAACTATGTACGATGCAACAGTAAACCCGTTCTATGGCTGCAACCTTTCCTGATGTATTTCTCTTCTTCGTCTCTCCCCTTTTTTTGTTTTGTTTTGTTATGTCGCACTTCTACACAGCTCGGCAAGTTTCTCAGGCAACTTAACTAGTTTTTCTTACCTCGTTGAGTGACAACTCTCTCTCTGTCGTGATGTCCATGAAATACCTCGCTGCGTACGCCTTGGCTAATCTCGCCAAGCCGACCCCGACCGCGGACGACGTCGCGGCCATTTGCAAGGCCGTCAACATCGACGTTGAGAAGGAGACCTTGGCCTTTTTCATCGAAAGCATCGACGGACGCGACGTCGCGACGTTGGTGGCGGAGGGCATGGCCAAACGCGCGGCGTTGTGCACCGGGGCCTCCACCGGGGCGGCCTCTGGTTCCGCCGCGATGGAGACAGGCGGTGCCGCTCCAGCCGCCGCGAATTCTAAGGAAGAGAAGGAGGTTGAGGAGGAAGACGACGAAATGGGCTTTGGTCTGTTTGATTAAAGGTCATGTGTCGGAGGCTGCATATGGTGGACAGGTCGGAGGGCAAAGGGTGATGCTTCCTCAACACACAAACAGCCATCCTCCTCTCCTTTATCTTTCCTTTTCATCACACTACCCTTTTTTAAAATTGACGATTCGATTTTTTAAAAAAGGAGAAGGTATGGAAAGATTTCGCACTAAATAGAAGGAACTTTACTGCCCGGGTGAATTATTAGTTTCTTGTTTCAATATAACTCCAATCTCATTTTAATATATAAACATTATACCTATAGAGAAGGAGGAAAACAAAAGGACCCCCTGACGGTTCAAAGTTTTATCATCCTCTTTTCTCACCAGTATTTTTATAAGCATGATACAGTTAATCGTTATTACGCCTTTTCTCTGCTCATTTCACCTGCTTTTAGCTTTTCAAAATAGCTTCAAGGACACCTAATTACAAGTAGTTACTTTTTCAACATATTAACAGCGTATATAATACTCTAAATAAAAAAGAAATATTTTTATTTATATCTATATCTATATCTATTTATATAGATTTATATAGACTGTGTTTGATATTTTTATTTAAGATTAATTGTAGTACTTGCAAGACGTTATCCCTTTTTGCTTACCCACTACCAAGGCCTCTGATTTATTGCCAAATCATTGAATCAGCAGTAGAAAAGAATTTGATCGAGAATTATTAAAGAAATCGATAAAGCAGCTGGCTGTACGTCAAGGTCATCACTGCTTTTGATTTCCCAGATTTTCTACGTCTTTTTCTCCTTCCTTTTCTCCCTTCGGCATTTTGGCTAAAATTGGACATATCAGGTGGCTAACCGTGCGTTGGATTTTCTATGCATTCCGAAGAGAAACAGACTTCATCCTTTTCCTCCCTCTAAACGCGCACACATTTCTCTGGGGCGTCACATATATTCATAAATTCATCAATAATCTTCAGAAGTATCTAAAACGTGAACAAGCTTTCATCCTAACCTGCAAACCAGGAAACCCAATCATCATAGTCTAATTGGAAACCCATTCTCTGAGATGATCACCCAACACACCGCTTCGGAGTCCCCAACGTATTTTTCACCCACTTCCGGAAGCATCCAAGTGAAGCCCAGCGGTTCCAGCACCGTCCATGCGAATAGCTCATCGTCCTATTCCAGCAGTGATGCCTCAATGGTGTGCATCCACCGAAGCCCCCCTGTCCCATCCCTGCCCCGCCCTTCCACCTCGGCAAAGTCCTTTCGTAATGACGTTTCACCCACCTCGATGCGGAGTTCCCCGGCGAGGAGTTCGAAGGGCGCCCCCACGCGCGGCAGTCTGTCCAAGAATACCGATCTGATGGAGTCCGCCCCGTTATTTTCGAACAGCAGCGTCGCTCTGGCAGAGTTCACCAGCCTGCTGAAGCCGAGCCGCAAGGATTCCCTCAAGGAGCAGATTATCCACCTCTTGGATGCGATTGAGGACGACGAGGGGCTTTTGGCGATCACCCACTTTGTTGAGGAGCGAGTCGGGGCCTCCCGACAGCTGGACCTGCCCAAGAACCGAACCGCGGCCGTATCCGGCACCAATGTGGGGCTCCCATCGCTCCGCCACGACAAATCAAAGCCCTTGCGTCGTGGGAATTTCCCCGAGCGGGGGACATCGAAAAATGCGAACCGCCAAAACCTCTCGCTGGGGTCTCGGGATCGTCAGTGGGTTTCCTACGTGGGGAGCGCCTCGCCGAACTCCTTCCTGTTGGGCGAAGGCCCCTTTCCCGGCGCGCGGGCCCAGGCCAAAGGGGCCACAGGGTCGCTCAAGACCACTTTCGTTCGGCGACGAAGCTTCACGGACGCTGCCACCCTCGGGCTTTTTCACTTTTTTGAGGAAAAAGACAACCCCGACAAGCCAGGCCCGGAAGGCAGCCTCACGTCGTCCTCGCAGACCACGATGGAGGCCGGTTCGAAGGAGACCCCAACCCTCGAGGACGAGGAAGCGCAGAAAATATTAGATGAGGTGCGAAAAGCGGGGCGGCGCGTGGCCATCTCGTCCTTGATGTGCAATATGGAGCAGAATAACTTATACAAGGTCCCACTGATGGACCCCAGCTCGCCCATTAAGACGCTGCGTTTGGTGAATTTTGTCAAGAAGTTCGCCATCTTCTCCGAGCTGGATGAAAGGGAGATCAACCAGGTGGCGAGGGCATTGGTGAAAGAAACCCATCCCGCGGGCACGACGATTATGACCCAGGGAATGCATTTTGACGGGAAGTTCTACTTCCTCTACGAGGGAACCTGTGAGATTATTAAGAACGGCAATGTAATCAAAACCATCACACGCGGCGTTAACTTTGGAGGTTTGGTGCTGGTGGGAAATCAGGCGAATTGCGCTATTACGGTTCGCTGTCTGACCTCATGTGTTTTATACACCCTCGACGAGACAACTTATCATCGCGCCGTCATCAGTGGTAGAATGAATGTGTACAAACACTTCAAAAATATGTTTTTAAAGATACCTCTCTTCAGCATTCTTTCCAAAGATGAGCGCTTGAGCGTGGTGGAGGCCCTCACCATCAAAGTTTTCAAGAAGGATCACTACATATCGCACTCTGGTCAGACCAGCTCCCACATGTACTTCCTGTTAGAAGGCGAGGTCAAGGTTGTGGGGCGGCATCGAGGGCACAAAAAGGAGATTATTCGGCTATACAAGGACGACATTATTGGCGATTTGGAGTTCATCTTCGGCCACTCCACGACGGCCGACTTCATCGTAGTCTCCGAGCGCGCCGTGACGGCGGGCATCAGCCGAAGCCACTTCGAGTTAATCGCCGGGCCGATTAACGACAACCTGAAGAAGTTCACCGCGACGAACCCGGCCTGCCATAAACTTTACCACAACCGAAGTAGGGCCATGTTCGGCATTGAGCCGATGCGCGACGCCGCGGCAGCCCAGCCCAAGGTGGAATCCCCTACGCTGTCCATCGTACCGGCGAAAGGTGCCGCTGATGTGGATCCCAACGGCGAATTGGTCATCCCCCTGCGGTTCTTTCACCACCTCCCTCCCCCGAGTCCTTCGCTTGCCTCGGTGAACCCGAAAAAGACGGGGGATTCCCCGCTGACGGGCAGCGCGAGTGATGGGACCTTGCGCTTTCCAATCGCACCGCTCTTTTCCGCCTTGCGTGTGGTTTTTATGGGGCTCTGGGAGGATGGGACGGTGAGTTCGTGGAGTGAAGGTCTCGAGCAGCTCACGGACTACACGTCAAGCGAGATTATTGGTCAAAGTATTTATTCTTTTCTTTTAGAAAAAGACGATCAGGAGTTCATGCGGTACGGGATCAGCAAAGCGATGAGCTATGCCGGAAATGTAGGGGATTACCTCAAGGAGGTTGCCAACACCAAATCCAAGAATTGCCGGTTCGTGCGAAGGGATGGGCTGACGAATTTGGTTCTTAAGTTGGACTTTCTGCCCCCGCTCGTGGGCGGTGAGTGCCACGCGATGAACGTCGTCCTGGCGTACGGCTCCGAGGTGCATTTGGTCTCGGAGCTGGCGCGCTGCGAGCCGCTTCTGATTTTGGAGGAATTCCGCCAGATCCTGTCAAACCCGAGCATCACCCTCGAGGAGTGCCGGCGGCTGCTTTCCGGGTCGTTAGATTCCCTGGAAGGGGCCTATCGCGCCGCCGCCCTCTCCGCGGAGCGCCTGCACGTCGTGAATCTTCAACAAATGGTGGGGAAAGTCGTGATGGAGTTCGGCACGGACTGCGTAACCCGCGGGGTGAGGATCCAACAACATTTCCACCGCCTGCCCACGATGGAGGTGTATTTGGATGCCGTACTCCTGCCGAGGTGCCTTCGCCACGCGGTGGAGCTCTGCCTGAAGGTCGTTCTCACCACAAAGCTAACCATCGAGGTCTCCTTAACCACCAAGGACGAGGTCGAGTTCCTGGTGATCAACTTCGACGTCGACGGGCATGAGTTCCCGCAGAAGTACACGGAGGCCTTGCAGAAGCCCTTTTCCCAGGCCCACCCCAATCACGGGGCTCATGCGACCTCCCCCGACGCCCCGGACGGCGACGAAAAGGAGGGGCCTAAGGCCGCCTTACCCCCTTCCGAGGATCACCGAATCGACAAGGAATGGGAGATGCTGTGGTGGCTGCAGGCGGTAATGGAGGAGCAGGGCGGCACGATGCGCGTCGTCAGCACCCCATCGACCTCGAACTTGTTGTTTTTGGTTCCGTTTATGCCCGCTAGAACCATAACGACGGACAACGCCTCCACCAATGATGCGTCCCTTCGAAACGTCTTAGAAATCAACGGCATCGATCAGCTCAAGATCCCAGGGGTGGTGCCACTTTTGGCGCAAGCTGGCAGTCTTACCAGCATTAGTGATTTAAATAATTTTCCCGCCACCGAGACGACGGTTTCTTTCACCCAACGTGAGACCAATCCCGACTCTTTGCTGATATCAAACGAAGAGCTGGAGAAGATGGAGTCCAAAAGCAATAATACCTACCAATACGATATACCGAGCCGAACCCACGATGTTTGCGAGGGCAGGGCTTGCTGCTATACCACTCTGGTCGTGGAGGATAACCCGGTGCATCGAAATATGTTGTGTGCGTACCTTTGGCAGCGCAAACACGCGGTGCTATCGGCCCAGAGCATAGAGGATATGGAGCGGCTCTCAGGGGCGGTTGATATTCTCTTTATTGACCTCAGCCAGTCCGTGTTGAGGTCCTTAGGGCCCCGGGCCGCGATCACGATGCTGCGGGACAAAATGACGCAAATGGCGGTGGTGCTCACCGCCGAGGAGTTGACCTTCGCGTCGAGCGACGACTTTCTCGCGGCGGGGTTTATTAACCTGAAGAAGCCCTGCACGCCTGCTCACGCCATGCAGGTTATCAGCATAGCCGAGGAGAAGATGTTTGTGGTCAAGAAAGAGGCGGAGTGGATCTTGCATATTCGCGAGGAGCTGGAGAAAGGAAGCCGCGGGAAGTGGAAGGTCGGCCGGTTGATCGGCAAAGGGGCGTTTAGCGAGGTCTATGAGGTGACTGATATGCTCACGGGTGGGACGATGGCGATGAAAGAAACAATCCTGAACAGCGACAAATTTCGGATGGAGAACTCCTTTCATGAGATCTCCACCATGTGTAACCTCCAACACCCCAACATCATTCACTACTTTTACTGTGAGGAGAGCCCCAACAGGCGGACGATTCGCGTGTTCATGGAGTACGCGACGGGCGGCACGCTTCGGGAGCTCCTCAAAGACCGCCAATCCCCCCTCGAATTTAGCCATATCCAACGTCTCCTGCGGGATATCACGGCAGGCCTGGGGTACATTCACTCCCAG